GCGCCGCGAGGCCGGGCATCCGTGCGAGCGTGGGTGTGCGCGCAGGGACGGGGCTCAGGGTAGGGACACCTTGGCAAGGCCCAGAGTGAACCAGCTTGGCCCTGGGGGGCCCCGGGAGGTCCACTCGGGAGGACAGGAGCGGAATTGGGGGCCCCAGGGTCCAGGCCCCGGTCGCCCGGCTGCGGAGACCCGGAGCAGCCGGACAGAAACGCCGAGATGGGTTGGAACTGGCCTTCGCGGGGAAGATCAGCGCGGAAAATCGGTCTTTCCCTGAGCTTCACCTCTGGCACCATCACAGAGGGAGGTGGTAACTGTTATTAACGAATATTCGTGAAGAGAGACCTTGCGGAGCGCATCCCTGCTTTCGCTTTATTATTAAAGCAACAGGGGAAAAGTCTACGCTAATAGAGGCTTCATCTCTCAGTCCCCGCAGTTTAATTTCACCCGGACGCTTAGGGCGGCGGGGAGGGTCTGTCCTCCCGCAGCCTGGCCAGGTGGCTTCCCTAGTGATGGCGCCAGTCCCAGCAGGGGTGGTGGGACTGGGGACAGGGACAAGCCTGGCCGGAGGAGCCCAGAGAAAGGATGGCGGGGCACGTCTGCAACACCGGAGATCCTGTGGGGCTTTCTTGTCTCGCCCCTGTCTGGAGCTGAGCGCTTTCCAACTCCGCCCTACTGCTAACCTCTTAGCCCCTTCGATGTGGTTTTTATCCGTTTTAACGGGTGAGAAGCTTTTAAAGTGCTTTGTGTGTGGAGGGGACCCCAGGCCCTGTGAGCGGAACAGTGTGTGGTCACCAGAGGCCGGCCCTGATCTCCCAACCCCGCCAGACCCAGAACCAAAGGAGCACAGTTTCCTTTTTCCGCTGGAGCTTTGGGCTCCATCCGGATCTAAACGGTGGACTGAGGACTGACGCCCACCTTTCTGCTGGTTAAAGCCAGAGGCCCACGGGGAGGGGGCTCCTGCTGTGTAGACACCCTTTCAAAGCCGCTGGTGGAGTGCTGATTTCAAAGATCCTTCCACCGCCCAGCTCAGCCTCCTGGTTAGCCTGCCCAGGGTGCGTCTGGAAGCCTGTGTCCTAGTGAGCCCCTTTCTCCATAAAAAGAGCTTAAAATTGTATTTCACATGGTTGGCATAAAGACAGATGTATTAATATACACAACAATAAAACATTGTCTTCAACCTGAAAGTTCATATTTTCCCTCAGATTTCTGGCTAAAGAAATGAGAACACTTCTTTGTGTGGGGGCTTCTAAAAGTTTTTTCAGTAGGCTCTAGATGCTATTCCTAGAAGCTCTGACAGGGCTGGAGCAGACCCAGGGCCAGGGATAGGAGAACTTGGTTTGGGGAGCCTCACAGGATTGAGGCTGCCTGCTCCCAGGGAAAGGGCAGGCAAAGGGGCTTGGGTGACAAATGCCTCCCGTAAGCTGACCCCTGCTGTCTATTTACACTTAGTCCATTTTTGCAGGAAAGACACAGAGTCCTTACTGCTTAACCACATAGCCCCTGGCACTGGGCGAGGGAAACTAGCCTGGCATTGCTTTTTCAAATATGGTCTTTCTAATCTGTTCATAGCATGATCTATTTCCACCCTCAGAACCTCACCCAGCCCTTTCCTTTCTGACCTAGGACTGGATGTGAGATTCCCAACTTTTTTGACTATAAGCTTTCTAATCTTTAACATTAAAAACATCACCCAGTAACACTGGTGTTTTTAGTATATTATGAGTGAGAACATGCATAAAAGTAGTTACACATTTAGTGACATTTAAAATTAACCTATATTTTATTAATACTGCAACATCCAGGTCCACTTAAAATTAGTCATATTTTATATACTCAGTCCATGGGCAGGGTGTGTGTGTGTGTGTGTGTGTGTGTGTGTGTGTGTCTGGATCTTGGACCCCCTACAACAATTTTGTGGCATCAGTCCCAGGGCCAGGAACTGCAGACCAGCTCCAAATCCAGAGTTCCTAACACTTTTCAAGTTGCCCTTTTAAGTGATGGCGAATTATATTGATGACAGTCAGAATAGTTATAGACTTTCATCCCTGTGGTAGAACACCTTTAATAATTCTGCTCCTCCAGCCCCTTTTGAGGGCCTGGTATACAGAGGCAGCCAGCATGGGCACAGGCACTGACACTGACAGAGGGTGGCCATGCACACAGCTCTACTCTGCCCTATGCAGAAGGCTCCAGGTAGGAGATGTGCCCCTTTCCTTATAGGACTTAGCAGGGCCTATCCTCCAGGCTAGTGACTGAAACTTTAGCATACATTAGAGTCATGGGGAAACTTGTCAAAGTTGTAGAATCTGAGTTCACTCTATGTGGTAACAACCTAAGGGGCCCAGAAATGACCTTCAGGACACCTGCAGCTGGAGGGATGTGCAACGTACTTTGAAAGACTAAAGCATTTTACAAAACAACACACAAGTGAGTGGGGAGGAATAGGAAATAAAAGTGAAACCAGCATTTTACTACCCTTGGGTTGCATGTGTGCTGTGCTTTTTAAAAAGGGAGTTTTGAGTTGGGTAATATCTCAGTGTGTTTTCTAGTGAGGAAAATAGAGACCCAGGGAAGTTAAGGGGTTTGCTTCTGTGTGGAGAGTCAATGGCTGTACAGGTGCCCTTGCCAGGGTTGAGGGTCCTAAGTAGATGACTGGAGGCTGAGGCGTGTGTGTGTGTGTGTGTGTACATGTGTGCCTGTCTGCATGTACATGTGTGCATATGTGCATGTTGCAAGCAGATGCTAGCATTCTGGCCACCGTCAGGTCTTCATGCCATACAGTCCTATTTGACCTTCAGACATTACCTAAGTGAGATCCTATCATTTAATTATATCTGTGGAACTCTTAACTCTACCTGGGTTCCCTCCCCCGGAGGCCTGTGAGGTTTATGCCATAAATAAATATTACAGTATCACTTCCTGCGAAACCGCAAGAATCAGCGAAGGCAGGGAGTTTTCATGGAAATACACAAATCATTAGAATCGGCTCTCCAAGCGTGCAAAGAACCCAACTCAATGTTGTAGTCCTTGTGTATTTGTATCCTGGCTGACACTGGCCTTTCGCCCGTGAGTCCCACGTCGTTTCCATGTTGTCTGTGTCACCTGATGGCTTTAATATGAGAGGTGATGGGACTGCGACTGTCGTCGGCATGAAGTGTTTCTGCTGCACGCAGGCGGGGAGGTTGGTTTGGCCTCACTGTGCGCGCAGGATCCGGGCTGGGATGAGGGCGCGAGGAGCGCGCGCGTGTCCTTGGCGGAGAGGAGGGACGCGGGTGGCATGGGGGAGGGCGTGGGCAGGCGAGTGCCCGGCGGATGCTCGGAGGCGGGCGTCTGCGACAGGCGCCCCGGCGCCCCGAGCCGCGCAGATGCTGACAGTGGCCTTTTCTGCCTTGTGTGAGCAGGAAAGTCGTGGAAGGCGCTGACGCTGTCGCAGAAGCGGCCCTACGTGGACGAGGCGGAGCGGCTGCGCCTGCAGCACATGCAGGACTACCCCAACTACAAGTACCGCCCGCGCAGGAAGAAGCAGGCCAAGCGCCTGTGCAAGCGCGTGGACCCCGGCTTCCTCCTGAGCTCCCTTTCCCGGGACCAGAACGCCCTGCCCGAGAAGCGCGGCGGCGGCCGGGGCGCGCTGGGCGACAAGGAGGACCGGGGTGAGTACTCGCCCGGCGCCGCCCTGCCCGGCCTGCGGGGCTGCTACCACGAGGGGCCGGCAGGGG